ATTTCCCAATGATTTTTGAAGCATTCTTGCGCTCTCCCATGTTCCGCCTCCCCACGGTCCCAGACCGCGTCAGGGGCCCTTCAGATCGCTCCAAGACGGCCGAAGAGGCTCCCAAGAGAGCCCAGAGACGGCCCAGGAGGCTCCCCAGATAAGTCAAGAGGGCCTCGAGAGCGCCCCAAGAGAGCCCCAAGAGCGACCCAAGAGGGCCCGAAGAGCGCGGCATTTCAAGGTCTCCGGCCTGAGAGGCTCCTAGGACGCCCCCGGAGGCCATCAAGAGGCTCCCAAGAAACCCCGTGAGGCTCCCAAGAGGCCCCCCGGAAGCCCCAATAGGCCCCCAAGGGGTCCCCAGGGAAGCCCCCTAGGGGGCCCCCAAGACAGTTCGGTAAATCGTATTTCCCAGATAGCTTTCCAGGAACATGATTCCTTGGGCTTCCGCCCACCGCCCCAACCATGTTTCCAGTTATAGGCTTGCCGACAAGGCCAAAAGGCGCCCCTCGGTAAGCCCCCAGAGGCCCCCCTCTTAGAGAGCCGAACAAATCATGCTCCCGGAAAGCTTCCCGGGAACATGGTTCTCTATCTCGGAGTAGGCCCGGGGGGGGGGGCGGGCCGCTGCCTGTTCCCTCCATCGGTGCCCACCGCGGGGGGGGATCCAGAGCTCCCGAGGCGGCCCGAGCCCGCGCCGAAGCAGGCCACGACAGGCTAAGGGGGTCCCACGAGGCCCCGAAGACGCCCAAGATGCCCTCAAGACAGCCGACGAGGACTCCAACACGCTCCAGGACGGACTCAAGAGGCTCCCCAAGAGGGCCCTGGAAGGCAAGATTCACTCGTTTTCTGAGTGTTTTGGATTTTGGCGTTCTCGCTTTTCCCGCTTTCCAGCGCTCCCTCACGGCCTCGGAGGCCCTTCAGATCGCTCCAAGACGGGCCACGAGGCCCCGAAGAGGGCCCCGAGACGGCCCAGGAGGCTCCCCAGACACTGTGCCCCAAGAGCTCCTCAAGAGAGGGCCCAGATGGGGGACCGCCAACCGATATTTCGAGGTCTCTGGCCCCAGAGGCCGCCTGTAGGCCCCCGGAGGCCACTAAGAGGCTCCCACGAAGCCCCGTGAGGCGCCCAAGAGGCCCCCAGGAAGCCTTAAGAGACCCCCCAGGGGCTCCCAGGGAACGCCCAAGAGGCCCCCCAACACACCCGAAGAAATCATGTCCCCAGAAAACCTTCCGTGGACATGGTTCATCATGGGCCCGAGAGTTCCCGGAGGCCCCCAAGGGGCCCCCAGGGAACGTCCAAGAGACCCCCCAACACACCCCAACAAACCATGTCCCCAGAAAGCCTTCTGGGGGCATGGTTCATCATGGGCCCGCGAGTCTCCGGAGGCTTCGAAGTACCACCATGCCACAGGAGAGCTGTCTGGGAAGTTGATTGGGAACATGTCTGATCGCCTTCTCGCGGCCCTCCGCAGATCGTTTCGCACAAAGTTGCCCCAAGTGCCCTCTTGAACCGACGACGACGTTGAAACGACGAAGACGACGAAGACGACGATGACGACGAGGACGACGACGGCGGCGCGTCCCAGTAATCGACGACGACATTACGACGACGACGACGACGACGGCACACCCCAACAGGCTCCCCAAGACGCCCCCAAACCCATGCTCCCAGAATGCCTTCTGGGAATGCGGTTCATACGGCCTCCGCCCCCCTACACAACCATTTTCCTCGAAGGCCTTTCGGAATGCAGATTGGCATGCGTGGACTGTGGCCCACTACTTCAGTGGAGCAGTGAATTCGTCAAGGCCTGGGGCCTGCTAGAACCTGAGCGCGCGCGAAGCGCGCGCGATGGTTCTAGTATATATATATATATATATATATATATATATATGCATAACGGCGCACCGGGTCCGGGGGCCCTGGGCCGGGACCTCGACCACAAATGTGGGCTCCGGGGGGCCCGGAGGCTCGTCGGGGCTTGCCGGAGGCCTCCCCGGTCAGACAAGACGGCCCCAGGAGCGCCCAAGACGGCCCAAGGAACTTCCAAGAGGCCTCCAAGAGGGCTCCGAGATGCTGAAGATGGCCTCCAGACGTCCAAGGACGCCCCCAAGAGGTCCCAAGAAGCCTCCAACATGCGTCCCAAGAGGGCCCCTAGACGCAAAAATTGGTCCATTCCCTTCGTAAAACGTACATTTTCAACAAAGTTCTCTTTTGGGCTTTCCGACGTTACAGGACGGCCCAAGAGGCGCCCAAGACCGCCCCAAGACGGCCCAAGAAGCTTCCAAGAGGGCCCCAGGACAGCCCAAGAGGGCCCCAAGACGGCCCAAGAGGCGCCCAAGATGGCCCAAGAGGGCCCCAAGACGGGCCCAAGAGGGGGCCCAGAGGGGGACCACGAACCGCAAGCTCGAGCCTTCCGCCCCAAGAGGCCGCCAGGAGGCCCCAAGGAGGCCCCTCAAGAGGCCCCAGGAGACCCCCAAGAGGCCCAAAGGAGGCCCCGAGAAGCCCCAAATCGGCCCCCAAAATGCTTCGAACCTGCTTCCAGGAGGCCCCCGACAGGTTCAGAGGCTCCCGAGAAGCTACGTCAAACTCCCAGCGAGCGGCCGGACGAGGCCCCCCAAAAAATCCCAAGAGGGTTCCAGTATTTGTATCCTTCAGCGCTCTCTGGCCTTCTTCCCCCTGCCCCCTTCCCTGCGACTTTCGTTGACTCAAGCTCGCCTCCTCTCCATTTCCTCTCTCTGCTCTCTCTCTCTCTCTCTCTGTATTTTTTTTGTTTCTCTCTCTCTCTCTCTCTCTCCATCTCTCTTTCTCTCTCTCTCTCTCTCTCCTTCGCTCTCTGTCTGTCTGTCTCTCTCTCCCTCTCTTTCTCTCTTTCTCTCTCTTCCTTTCACATTCTGTGTCCTTGCGACCTTCTGCAGTCCCCGACGTCGCCACGGCTGGATCCGCTCGAGCGTGTCTTGTGATGTGCGGCGGTGCGAAGCCCGTCCCACTGATCAAGGCACAGGTACGAAATGATGGGTCCATCATTTCTTGCCTTCCCATGTGCGTTTTCCCAATCGATTCCTGGGCCCGAGGTCGCAAAAATTACGACGTCGGAGGTCTGGGGAGGCGGGAAGCACGACCTGGACCTCCGACGTCTTGGAAAAATCACGACGGCGGTTTTTGTTAATTTTCGGCCTCCGGGGCCCCTCGCAGGTTCCCGGGACCGTCAGAAAACGACTCAGGATGAAAACGACTTGGGCTACAGGGCTATTGGGCTACAGGGCTATAGGGCTGTAGGGCTATAGGGCTATAGGGCTAGGGCCATAGGGCTATAGGGCTATGTGGGCTATTCGGCTATTGGGCTATAGGGTTGTTGGGCTGTAGAGCTATGGGGCTATAGGGCTACAGGGCTATAGGATCAGAGGGCTATAGAGCTAAAGGGCTAGATGGATATAGGGATATAGGGCTATTGGGCTATAGTCCTATAGGGCTATACGGCTATAGGGCAATAGGGCTACAGGGCTATAGGGCGATAGGGCACCCCCAGGCACCCCGGCACCCGGGCACCGGGCACCCAGGCACCCAGGCACCGGGCACCCGGGCACCCGGGCACCCGGGCACCCGGCCCGGCCGCATGGGGCCGGAATCTTGCCGAACCTCATCGAACCTTTTAATCCGCCAGGACCCTTACAGAGGCAAGCTCTGATTGGGTACTAACCCATGGCAACCGCCGCTACCTTCGTCGCCGCGATCGCCGCCGTCTTCATCGCCGCCGTCGTCGACGTCCTCGGGTTCTGTTCGGGCACCCTCTGGCCATCTCGTGGGGCACGCTGGGGGATTATCAGAGGCATCCGTACGTATCCTGAGGGGCCCCGCGACTTCCCCCAGAGACTCTAACTACAGAAACTCCTTTCGTATTCCGGCCAGAAGCATCCAGAAACGATGTACATTAGCCCTGGCGGGGGGAATGATGGCGATGGTGATGTTCATGATGACGACGGTGACGATCCTAGCTAGAACTTAAGCGCGCGCGAAGCGCGCGCGTGGTTCTAGTATATATATATATATATATATATATATATATATATGTATGTATGTATGTATGTATGTATGTATGTATGTATGTATGTATGTATGTATATATATATATATATATATATATATGTATCGCACCCGAGCGTGGCCCGAGCCGAAGCATATTCAGCAGTCGTCTTTGGATGGGCAGCTACTGGAGGCGAATCCGCCGCCGCCGCCGCCGCCCGCCCGCCGCCGCCGCGCCGCCGCCGCCGCCGCCGCCTCCGCCGCTGCCGAATCGCCGCAGCTGCTGCCGCCGCAGCCGCTGCCGCCACCGCTGCCGCCGCCGCCGCCACCGCCGCCGCCGCCGCCGCCGCCCGCCGCAGCAGCTGCAGCCGCCGCCGCCGCCGCCAAGTGTACTCTGTATTGTTTGTTGACAGGGATGGTGGGGGGAGGCCGAATCGGGTTCGCTGCGTATGCTCCGAATTTGGAGGCAGAATGTGTTTCGTGCTGTTTGTTACAATGGATGGTGTGGGGGGGTGCATTCATTTTCTCGGGTTGGCTCCCAGTCGCCTGGGGGAGGGGGTGTACACTAATAGGGAACAGTGGTAAACCCCTCCCCGAAGGGGAAGAGGGGCTTTTGAAAGAGGAAGGAAATAATGCCGTTAGACCACCTGTCGCCCAGAGGGCTGGTGGGATAACCAAACAGCTACAATGATGGGGGCGTCAGCTGTTTTCTGTTTCTTGAAAATTGTCGCATGGAACCCGCCCACCGGTTACAATCCTAACTGCCACATAGTCACATACCATCAAATAGTTACAGGGTTTGTGGGCGGCTCGTTTCGAAATTGTGCGTTCGTCTGGTGTTATTTTGTTTTGGTTCTTCAGCCGTTTTTGAAAGATGCGCAGCGACTACACGAGCGGAGGGCAGCCCATTTTCAAAACGGAGTGCGTCCTCCGCCGCGACGGCGGAGGACGGCGACGGCGTCCAATGCTCCCGCGACGACCGGCGACGCCCTCCGAGGAGCTGTGGGAAGGACAGCAGGGCTTGCTGGAGGATTGCAGAGCCTCCATGGCGTCGCTGCGGGGGGCCATGGAGGCGAAGGAGCCTCCCGCCCGTGGTGAAGAGGAAACGGAAGAGCAACAACAACATGAGAAACAGGAAGAGGCGCAGGAGGAGAAAGGCATATGGGGGAGAGGGAGGATTGGGGAATTGGGGTAGGAGCAGGAGGAGGGGGAGGGAAACGCAGGCGATGACGGAGGGAATGAAGAGGAGGATGGGGAGGAGGAGGAGGCGGACGAGGAGGAGGAGGAGGAGGAGGAGGCGAATGAGGAGGAGGAGGAGGAGGAGGAGGAGGAGGAGGAGGAGGACCAGGAGGAGGAGGAGGAAGAGGAGGAGGAGGAGGAGGAGGAGAAGCCATGACCCCCCGAGAGCCCATCGTCTTCAAACTAGGAGAGGTCACCTACTTCTACAAAGGCGCTGGCCCACCCCATGTGGCAAAGTCCCAAAGAAACATCACCATGGCCAGCACCATTTGTAAGGCTTATCACAAACATGGTCGCGCTTTGGCGCTGGATTTTTTTGCCATGCGTCTGCTTGTGGAACAGTGTGGGGGGTGGCCTCTAAAGGCACTGAGATGCCCCTCCATGGGCTGCATCTCATTAGCGTGGCCTCCAACATGGCCGAAACTAGCACGATTTGCTTGTCTCTCGACCTGGTTGATGCCTTTGATAGTGTTATCAAACAGTTTGATTTGAGCCTCCCTGGGGAGGAAGAAAAACTTGAGTATGCGTTGGAACGTGATGACCGCCCCGAAGCCCTCCACCATGGTGCCAAAGAAGTGCCAAGAAGCGCCAAACCGTTGGAGGCACGTTTAACACGTGCCCATAGTATGGCCCTTTGTGCGAGAGACGCAAAGAGGAACTTGCTGGCAGGTACGCCAAACCGATCACTACGTCGTCCCAGCGGGAGGCAAGAGACTAGGTACGATCCCTGCCACAGATTTTTTTAATCTAGCCTTCAGAGCAGTGCTGCTACATATTCGCCAGGCGATCCAACCATTGCAAGCAGCTGTGCAGGACACCTTCGAGAAGCCGCCGTGTCGAAGCGCATCTGACGCCGATTGGGACAAAGCCCAATCAGATCTTTCATTTATCGATGATCTAACGGTCAGTCTGTGTGTGGTAGAAGCTAAACGGGTACCCCAGATCGCTCTGGAGCTATCGGAGGCAGTCTATGTGGCATGCCTTACTCACGGTCTAAGGCCCAATCAGACCAAGACAAAGCTGCTAGCAGGACTTCGCGGCAAACTGGACGAGGCCAATGGCAGATTTCCCGCATCTTCAGGGACACCCTGTTGTTTCAGGCAAGTGGCGGAACGCTTTCCCTGTGGTCCAGGTCCACAAGATTCTCGGGGTTCAAATGGCTGCCCCGGGCAGCCTGGCGTATGAAATCTCTTCCCGCATTTCTAAAGCGAAGGGCGCCATGGGACCGATTGCCGCCACGATTGCACCTAGAACGCCCCTGTCGTTGCGACCCAAGGTGTTGTATGCGGAGTCCCTGGCATCCTCTGTGTTCCTATCCGCCTGTGTTGTCCAGCCCGATACCACTAACATGCAGTACGGCGCGCTCATCACAACACATGCTAGCATGTATCGTACGGCCTTGAACAGGCCACGTATTAATATCGCGCATGAACGCATGATGACAGCACAGGTGTTGTTTGATACCGAACGGCTACCGCTTAGGATCATACAAACAGTGGTCCGCCTCAGGTACATTAGGATGATGATTCACTTTGCTCCGCCTCTCATCCGCGCGATGGTTGATTTAATTTGGGAGGCGCCTGAAGGGTGGGCACAATTCCTTGCAGATGACTACAGGTGGTTGAGATTCCACACGGACCCCTCCAAGAGACCTGAGGGCCCCACTCCAGAAGGCCCCCTTCAGTTCGTCAGGCACCGCCCTAAGGATTTCCAAGCGCTTCTGAGGGCTGCCATCAACAAAGCTAAATTGTTCGAGAGGGACGTTTTGCACGCTGAGAATTGGACCCATGGGTTATATAACATTGCCAACGGCACTCTTCTAGGTGTTCCAGCGACCCCTGACGCCGTCTTTGTTTGTCAGGTCTGCCAGTTCCAGGCTGACAGCCTTCAGGCACAAAGCACCACCCACAGACGAGGAGGCGGGGGAGTCGAGAAACGAGGCAAGGAGCATCACGGCAGGCAGCAGGAAGAGAGGCCTCCCAGATCAATTTGCATGCAGTCCACCGACACAGCTACAAGGACCCGCGATAGGACTGCGGATCAAGATGACGAGGAAGCAGGCGAAGGAGAGATTGGACAGCTTTGTCGCTTCCGTTCCCGACCCGACCCAGCCTGCTGCTTTCTCTCCTCGGCCCCCCCCTTTTTTCGCCCGCTGCGCTTCGTCCTGCACCTCCTCTCTGGGCACCGTCGCCCACTTGACATCCAACGCCGGATTGAGCAGTTGCTGGCCACGTGTCCTACCAGAGTTCAGGTGTTGAGCATTGATGCGGAGATAGACCCCGAGGCGGGTGACCTTACTTATCCCCAAGGCATCAGTGTCTGGACCCTGATGGTGATGTCAGGTCGCATCGCGGGAATATTGGCGGCCCCACCCTGCGAGACTTGGTCCGCGGACAGGTGTCGCGATGTCCCCCCTAATGCTCCTGCGCCCCCTCGCCCCCCCCCCCCCCCCCCCCCCCCGCCTCCGCGAGCACCCTGGGGGGATGGGGCATCTGAGAACCCGAGAACACGAACGCGTGCGTTTGGACAACCTCCTACTTAGGACGACCCTGGAGCTTCTCTATCATGCGTGGATTCTATGGATCCCTGCCATCATGGCGCACCCCCCCCCTTCTCACGGGCCCCCCTGAAGCCCCGGGCTGTTGGCCCCTACCACAGGTTCGACGCTTGCTCGACATGCCAGAGGTACGGCTGTGGGATATACACCAGTGCATGTTTGGGGCGTCCGTGCTGAACCTTACTTCCCTGTCAGTTGTTCACATGCCCGCTGCACGTGAGTTTCTGCGCAACAGACCAGGGCAGGGCAGGTGCAACCTCGGTGGCAGTCATCGAGGGATACGTGGCAATGGAGAAGAGAGGGCGTGGAACACCTCGTGCTACAGCGCCCCCCCCCCCCCCCCCCAGCTGCGCGGGTTTTTTGGAGCCTGCATGCCCCAACAGGTTCGCAGCACTTTTCCCGACCCTGTTGCCTCCCACTGCCCCCTGCCCTTCCCGCGCCGCCGCCCTGCGAGGCAACCGCTCGAATGGACGTGGAATCAAGAGCGACAGCTGCGCAGACCCATTAACCTTGACCCCTGTGATGACCAGCGGGCGATGCCTCAGGGGTTGCGGAGTTTGTGCGCTGTGTTGGACCCATAGCTCAATCGGGGGCCGTCCACGGACTGCCTGCTACAGCGGCGCAGCAGACGCAATCTATGATATGACGACAACGGCACCACCTATCATCATTATCAACAGTCTCTCTCCACTTCCTCTTTGAGTTGCAGACTGTTGCTGTTCCACCACCCTTTCAATCCACGTGAAGGGCCATGCTGGGAAGGATTGATGGGTCCAAGGACTCCGCCAGGCTCGCCCCCCGTTCAGGGCAGCGCCTGCATGGTGCAACTGACTCTTCTGGAGAGTTGCGGCGCCTGTGGCAGTAACGCGTGGTTTGGGGGGGGGGGGGGGGGGGGGGCTACTCTTTTCCAGCTCTCTGTCTTTTTCCCTAGTTCTTTTTCTGGCGTGCACCCACCTTACAAGGTGGTGCCCTGGTGCGCGCAGGCTCCTGTGTGCCAGCAAGCTGTCAGGCCCTCTTGCTCCTGCGTGCCTTGCTGCTGCTCGTTCTTCACTCATTGGTCTTCTTAATCCCAAAGCTCTCCATACAGGCGTCGACTGCCCGCCATCAGCCGAACCGGACCGAACCGAGGAGTAGGAAGAGGAGGAGGAGGAGGAGGAGGAGGAAAAGGAAAAGGAGGAGGAGGAGGAGGGAGCGGACGTTTCAGCCAGGAAAGCGCAGGGGCACGGGGCCACCAAGGCTCGGGTCCCCGTCCAGCAGGCCATCGCGCTGATGTCGGCAGCCGATTAGGACGACGAGCCGCCGCTGGCAATCACCATCGAAACGGATCAGCCCACCTTGCCAACCTTCGCGCCACGCAGGCCTTCGGCGTTGACGGCAATGCACCTGCTCCACCTTTTCTCAGGGAGGCGCCGAAATCAGGAATTCCAGCGCTACTTCGAGGGCTTCGTTAATTTCTGCAACCTGGTCGCGCTCTCGATCGACGCGTGGATCGGCCCCGAAAAAGGCGATCTCACCGAGCGAGAGACGGTGCTCCGCTGGGCCGCCGCCACCAGGGCGGGCAACATCTTCGGGGTATTTGCCGGGCTTCCCTTCGCGACATGGCGTTCCTCGCGATGGCGCGCGCTCGCGGGCAGAGCCCGCGGGCCTCTGCGCACCCGCGAGTTCCCGCGGGGGGTCCAGGCCGCAAGCCAGACAGAGTTGCAGCAGGTTGCCTTCGGCAGCGACCTCTACAGGACCGCGATCGTGCTCATCGCGCTCGGGCTGCAGTTCGAGGCGCAGCCATCCTGGGGCACCCAACCCCTGCCACGTTGTGCCCACAGTCGCCGAGCACTTGGCGCAGGGAGGAAACCAAGTGGCCGTTCGGGCAGGTGGGGGTGCAGCTCCTCTACCTTTATCAGTACCAGTTCGGCCAGAAGGTGCATAATTCCACGTGCCCTAGTAGCCCAATGTCGGGAACTCGGGCAGGAACGCAGCGCGGCGCCAGGTGGCCAGCGCTGCCGCCATCGCGACCGCGATCGCGCCTGCGGCCGCGACAGCATGGGCGTCTGGAAGACGGCGCTGCTCAAGGAATGCACGCCGCAGCTCTGCAGAGCCATGGCGGCAGCATTCGCAGTCAGGTGGGGCGAGCTTGCAGACGCCGGCACCGCATGGGCCAGCGGCGATGCGGACGAGAGCTTATTCTTCTACGCTCCAGTCGACCATTGCGCGCCGCCGGAGGAGCGCGGGCACGACTGCCACAGTCCACCAGCGGCACGGTGAACCAAGAGGCCGCATCCTCCGTG